AATTGGTGGCTGACTAAATACTTTTTTTTCCCCACTGTACATACACACACATATATATATATATATATATTTTTTTTTTACAGAGATTAAATGTAAACTGTAAAAATAAAATCTCCATGTATGCCGTGTCTAAGATGAGCTCTAACCTGAACAGGGCAGAGTCCATATAACAGGAGTTGCAGTGACCCTGAATGCCTTTCTTCTTACCAATCAATCGCTTTGACACATCTTCTGTTCTAATAGGTGGTACATTCTCCTGTTCCTCATATACAATTGCCCCATTATGATCTGTTACAGAGAAAGCGGCACACAAGTAACGTTCCACAAGTTCCACTACAGTAGGTGGCAACATAATATTTGTGGATGTAATCTACCAGTGCAGTCCATGATCAAATTTCACTGCTGAACACCTGACACACCCACTTTAGGTAAAGTACATTGTAATTTCACAAAAACTGTATCACCAGGTCTTACCAGAATGTCCATTAAACTGCTGCTTCTTTGCACCAGAAAAACGATCATCAGGCCGACAAGATGATAGTTTCACAAATAAACCACAATGAGGAGGACAGGTAAAGTACCATTTTCCTTTATATGTCCCATCATTCACACCGGCACTGCTGTCCTCCTAAGAAAAAAATACATATATTACAGTATTTAAAATTAGTTTAACAAATGGTGAAACTGGCTTTAAGTTTTTATGTCATTTCAGAACTACAGGAATTTTTGAAAGATGACAACAGTTGAACTGGTATATAGAGAACATACCAGTTCCAGTCCAGCAATCTTCTCAAGGTAATCAGGTAAAGAGCCAATCCAGCGGACAATTCCATAAGATAGCTTTTTTCCCAGGATCTGCACTAGGGAGCCAACAGTAATTTCGTCAGAATCAGTAACACCCCCCTTCTCGGAGCCCTGAGAAGTGTCCATTTTTTCAGTTCCATCTGCTCACAAGAAAAACAAAACAAAACAAAAAGTATGCTATGAAACAACGGACATCAAACTAACTCCACTATATTGAAAGGATAGCATATATTGTTTGCATGAGTGTCCATGCCCAAATGCTTATACCCAAGTTGTGCTACTTTATACGTTTTTCATATCTCACATAAACCTGCACTAACACATTACCTTTATTTAATGGCTCCTCTTTAATTACAAAATCCAATGGGACCAACATCTCTCCCCCTTGCTTCCCCTCTTCATCCCTATCCTGAAAAAAGGAACATTTTAGGACATTATCATTACTATAACTTTGTACAATAGCTCATCTTTATGTAATAGGTGAACTACTCACTATTACACAATCATCTGTCCATACTGTTTTTGTTTTTTTTCCTGTACATACATCTTTACTTATTTAATATGTAATACTCATATCTGTAATTTTCTTTTAATATAATTTAACTGACCTTATTTTTTTGCAGCTGTGACAATTTCCCTTGTGGGCTTAATAAAGTATATGCAATTTAAGTCTAAGTTTAATAAGAGATATAACTTTATTGTGGGGCTAGTATTTATATGAACATTTAGATGAATTTTTCCTTTTTTTGGACCCGTTTCTATTATCCTTTCAATCCCGTTTTGCTTTTATCTTTAGATAATATCTTTATGTCTTCAGACAAAAGCAAAACTAACAAGAAAAACTAACCTGTATGCCCGTTTTTATTTTATTCACTCTAAAGTGAAGTCAGTACTCACAGTAGATATGAGAACCATTTTACCATCTGGGCTGTCCTTTATATCCATAATCATGCCATGGTGATCATTTATGTCACCAAGAAAGGTAACTCTGTCTCCAACTTTGAGAGGTTCAGTAGATGTCATGGACACGGAAGACTGAGTTGGTAGCGGCAGTGCTGATGGTTTATGATCCACTGGTTTGATTCTTGTAAAAGGGGCAAAAATGCCTGAGTTTTTAGGACATGTGAAGTATGTTTTATGGAGGTAGGAACCATCATTTTGGCCTTTACCTTTATCTTCCCCCTGAGAACAGAAGAGAATAGAAGACTTATTATACGACCATATTACCCTTAGTGGGTTATTAGTATTACTCTACCTCTATTCTCTCTTCAACAATACTACAGACACAATCTCACTCACGCAAACAGGTTACACACCTGCAGTTCCACCCCAAAGAAGACTCCTCGTATAGGATCAGACATATGAGATAAAGGTAAAAGAACGCCAGTGTATCGAATCACACCTTTGAGCCATTGCCCTTTATATTCCACGTAAACCCGACTGCCTTCAGACAGATTTGAAGCCTCCTTTAAAGCCTCAGGATCTTTCAGTGCCAACAGTCGCATTTCATTGGATTCAAGAGCCAGCAGTAATTCTGCTGATCTGGGCTTCAATTGCTGCAGAAGAACTTCATTAAGGTATACATCGAACGTTGTGCCCATACAAACGACAGGTAACATCTTGGTGTCATTTCTCTTTTGCCTTAAATCAAATCGCTGTCTATCTATGAAGCATATTTCACCAGCTTTTATGTAGCTATATGGTGAAGGTGGATTTGCAGTTATGATGAAGCATATCTTGTTGTCAGCTGAAGCCATTTCTTGAAAATGTCATTTGAAAAAGTGAAGTACAGTGTTTCCAGTGTGGGCATGGGCCTATAGCATTGGAGTCACTTGCTCACTTCCTCTAAATAAAGCATATTCCTCTTCTTCGTCAATTAAATACTTGCAAAGCGTAAATAATTTAAAACATCTGCACTGGTAGATAGAAGGAGCTGCGTAGACACCATCTATAAAAAAAGCCAACAGTTAAAGTTAGTGCTAGTAACTTTTGTTTGATAGTAGTTTATTGATATATTGACCTGGTAGACTATATGGCTATTAAAACGAATTTTGTAAAATAAGTTAACTAGCACTCAGAAGCGATTTCATAAACGTAGTGATTCCCAATTAAATTGCGCAATCATTAGATCTGATTATGCTAATTACTTACCAATGTCAGTAGAACTTTCGATTTCTGAATCCCAAAAAGAAACCCGTTAGAATGCAAAACTGTCAGTCTTCTTCCAAACACTTTAAAGGTTATTAGTATAACCACAGTGATGTGATTATCAGAAGTTGATAATGCTGCTCTAAATGAAACTACTCTCCAGACACAGTTGCAGTCGGTCTGTAAAGTTTCGAACAACCAGCCGTAGTTCCGCTCAAAACCACAATTATAGGACCGTCTGTTGAGAGCTGTGTTGTGATTGGATGGTGCCTGTACACGTAATAACAGGCGTCCGTCGTCGCGGTTTTATGACATCTGTGTTTCGGTGTGAAGATGGCTGAACGTGAAGCGCTAAAGAGAGAAATAGAGGAATTGCAAAGTAAGACACTGACAAAATAAATATACCGCTAGAAGATCGATTCGGAAAGGTCGTTGTTAGAACTAGTTCATTGCTGGTTGTTTTAGAGCAGGTTCAGAGATGAACAAGTCCCTGGGCGAAAGTGACAACAGAAATGCCCCACATTTTTATGTGTATATATTATTTTAAAGTATTTGTTTATGATTGCAGATACCTTGCATTTGATTGTATAGTTTTTTACTATATTCTATTTATTCAGATTAATAATTACTTATTTCAATAACAATACTTAACTTATTTGAATGATATATTTCACTTCTTTAAAATTCTAAATATTTTATATTGAATTACAATATATATATATTCTGTTACAGCCCTTGCATTTACTGAAGTCCATTTTACTAATTTTTAAATAATCAGCTCAGTTCAGTTAAGTCTCAACTTAACCTTACACACTTATTCTTTACTTTGCAGACCTCATTAATGACTTTAAAAGTACTCATGGTGATGTTCCCTCCAGTTCCACCCAGTGGGGTCGTGCC